AAAAGATAAGAGTTTGGATTGATTTTTAGTTTTGAGATAATTATTTTGAGTTATTTTAGGATATTTATAAGTTTATAATGATTTCTAGGGTGTTTTGAGTCAAAATAAGTTTTTGGATATTAACCTGAATTTTCCAGCTACAACAACAACTATATTCTGGACACTATTTAATGATATGTTGTCTGTCTTAGTGGGCGAAGTATCGACTAATTTTTTTTTAAAAAAAACTAGGCGAACGACATGTTGTTATCCATAAATGCATAGAAAAAAAAAGGGCTTCGATGTGCAAACCGTAACAAAATCATCTAGGTAGGCTGGCCCAGTTTTCTTTTTCTTCAAAATTATTTTTTTATTTAAGTTTAGGTTAATAACTCTTTTCTCTTTTATTTTGTATATAGAGTCTCTTTTAAATGATGATTTTTTTATTATTATTTTGTATATATTTAATTTTTGGAGAGGTTTTTCTGATTCATCCATAATTTTTTTTATAAATAAAGTTTATTTTTGAAAATACAATATAATTGTTTTCAAATAATATTTATGATATGTGCAGCCTTGTATAATATTTTTTTTCTTTTATTTTATTCAAGAAATTTAATGTGTGTCTATTTCTATTATCATTTAATTGAATAAAAATATATTTTATTTAACAATATGGAAAATACAACTGGGTAAATGTCCCGTTTTACAAGATTAAATATCTAGTTCTACACCTATCTCTCAATTTTCCTGTTTTATTTTTAGTTTTCTTCTATGAATTTTTTTTTATTAATACACATCGATTTATTTGATCCCATGTAGGCATATACATTTTTATTTTCACTTAGAATTTTCTTTAGTACAAAAACATGTTGGAAAAGCCTATTTTATAATTATTTTTGTTGGAAAAAAATATTTATTAAAATGGTTTTTGTTCTAATACTATTGTTCTAAGTGATAGGTCATCACCTATTTTTGGGTTTTTCACCTCAAAATTTACCATTTTTCCTTTAAAAATAATAAATAAAGTAATAATTGCAAGAAAACCGATAATTTGACAAAAGCATGTTGATTGGGATTTCAAATGTATAGAATCATTAAGTTGAGATTTTGGATGGAATTAGAAGTTTAATCGTACCCCATTGTATCCAAGACCATAGAAATAATGTAGATTCAATGTCAAATTAAATAATTATTAGATGAATCTACATAAAAATTAAATATAATGACATAATTATATTTTTAATAGGTCAATTTTATTTAATTATTGGTCAAATTAAATTTTAATTATGTTTTAAGAGTTAATTTGGGTCAAATTAAAGGGTTTAATTAAGTGTAAGGACTTAATTATATTTTAAATGAATCAAATTAATTTTATTAGGGATTTAATTAGTAAAAAATTAAGTTTGGGAGCCCAATTTGAATTTAATTGAAAATATTAAAATTTTAGAGGAACAAACTTAATTTTTATAAAGTCAATTGGTTGAAACCAGGGGTAAAATTATAAGAAAATTGAAAGTTTATAGTCAATTGGGGGATAAATTGAAGAAATTCACAACTAAAAATTTTTAGACGTTGAACTTTGGGGAATTAATTAGCTGAAATCATTGGTGAAATTAAAACTTTAATGTTAGTTAAGGGTTAATTTGTATAAATCTAAGACCAATGACCATTTTGAAAAAAAACATTGAAATTCGAGGCTGATGTTGAAGTTTGGTTGGGGTAAAATTGTATAAAATCAGAAGTTTAAGATTGTTTTATCTCATAACCCATGTCATGAGTTTAATAGATTAACTCAGTTGACTAGAGGTTTTTTTTGTATTTTTTTTGTATTGATATTTTTTACAACTTTATCATTTAACATTGTATTGATTGAGAATTTGGCTTTGTGATTTATTTTGATTTGCTTTCTAGGAGGTTATCTTGATCACATGGACCGAGTTCAGAGTTTGACAAATTAATCCAGTTGAATTAAGTTATTTTTGCCTTTTTTCAATTGATTTTTTTTTTAATTTTATTCTTTAGCTCTGGGTTGATTATGAATTAGGCTTTATATGAGTTTTTTTTTTTTGTCTTTTTTTAATCGATATTTTTTTCAATTTTGTCCTTTAACTTTGAGTTGATTATAAATTAGGCTTTATATGAGTTTTTTTTTGTTGTTTTTTTTTTTAATTTTATCTATCAACTTTGGGTTGATTATGAATTAAGCTTCATATTTTCTATGAGTTTGTCCTGATCTTATAACCTGAGTCACATGTTTTGCAGATTAATTTGAGTAGACTCAGGTTGTTTTATTGTGTCTTGTTTTTCAAATGATTTTTTTTTCAATTTAACCTTAAAAAATAAGTTAATTAAAAATTAGATTTCATAATTTGTTTTGATATGCTTTCTATATGGTTATTATAATCTCATAACCTTCATTGTAGGTTTAGTAGGTTAACCTAGTTGACTCAAGATATTTTTTTGTTTATTTTCTATGAGATTATCCCGATCTCATGACCCGAATCGTGTGTTTTTCAAGTTAACATTGGGTTCTACGAGGTTATCTCAGTCTCATTACCTAGATCATGATTAATTAAACTGAGTTGATTTAGTTTTTCTTTAATATTTTTTTAATTAATTTTTTTTTAATTTTATCCTTAAACATTAAATTGATTAAGAATTAAGTTTTATAATTATTTTGATTTTATTTTTTTAGAGTTACTCCATTCACATGACTAGGAACGTTGCAGTTTTAACAAATTAACTTGAGTTGATTTGAATTGTTTGTTTTTTATTTTTTTTAATTTCATCATTCAATATTTGTTTAATTGAGAATTGAGTTTCATATTTGTTTTTGATTTATTTTTTATAAAATTATCTTATGATTTAGGTTGTAGATTTGAAACATTAATCCAGACTAACTCGAGTGGATCTAATATATTTTTGTTTTTATATTTTCTAAAAAACATATTTTAATATTTTTAATGAAATTATATCTTAAAAATTTTACATATTATCTTTAAACTCATCAAATTAATTAGTTGATAATAAATCAACCACACGAACAAAAACTTTGATGGTTTGATTACCACTTTCATCAATTTTTAATGTCATGTTTTCCATGGGAGGTTTTCGTAGCTTACGATGGAAGTGTAGAGGCTGGATAAAGAGTGAGCTAGGGAATCAAGAACCTTGACTAGGGGTAGTAGTGCATGCAAGCTTTGTGGTACTTTCAAGCCTGTGGAGGCTAAGAATTGCCTGTGGTGATAGAAAATATTTTCTTTGTTACTGAGAGACTGATAGGAGGTGTTCACGGTTCAAGGTTAAATATGATTTTTATGCTAGCAAGTAATCTGTTAGATAGATCCATAATCATAACAAAAACACAAATTTTATCTGTTTTGTTGATTCAAGTCAATGAATTGATGGTTATAAAATCTAACAAAAACAGATACTTTGATCGATTTTTTCTATCAGTTTGGTGTTTTCAATTACTTTTTTTTCCTAGTTTTTATGGTTTAATCGGCTGGTCGGTCCTTCTTTAAAACCTCTGAAGACTGCATATGCATACCAGCAGAGAAGCTGTTGAAGTTGCTACGTTACCTCTGCTGTTTGGTCATGGTTTTGATCGATTTTACGGTATGCCTTTCTCCTGCCTCCTGATTCTTGAATGGAGTTCCTGTTTTATTTCCTGCAGCGGACTTTCTGTGTTTGCTCTTGAGCTTTGCCGTGTCAATTAACATGCCATCGTCATGCATTCTCTGGATCATCTCACAGTTTCTAGCAATTACAAAGGCGAGAGGCACTTGATTTCAGTGCTTGAAAGGTCAAATATTTGGCATCTAGCATTTCCTTTTGGTACAAACATACTGCTTTTGGTCTTGAAAAGGCATAATCTATACAACTCAGTGCTGATGCCACACCTACAAAAGTGCTGGGTTGGAGGGCAATGGGCACCTGCAAACAGCAAAGAGCTTGATCGTAACAGCTTCGAAATCCGGGCCTTTTTTTTTCCTTGTCACCAACCAATGACAAATGCACTTTTTTTACCGGAAATAAATTAAATTAATATTTTTATTTTATAAAATTTATTTGTAATATTAATATATCAAAAAGATTTAAAATACAAATAAAAAATTAATTTTAAATACAAATAAAAAATTAATTTTCGAAAACTCCTACTAAAAAGCGGGCTCAAACACTTAATGGAACTTCTATCTGGCGTGGACGAGAATATAGCTCCGTTGTCAACTTCTTGATTTCCCCATGCAAAGTACACACTGCTGTACTAGGTGATCTGATTCTGATGTGATCATTGGTGTTAACCTCCTACCTTTCATAACAAAACCAGACACTGATATTTACTAGCAGCAGCTTTTAGAAATGTAAAGATGCTAGACATGGTGGCTCTGACCCATAGTCATTGACTTAAGAGGCTCAACTCAGCTGCATAGAACTTGTCCAGTTAAGTTTTCAATCCATCTAACCCAGATGATGATGAAGTTTGGTTATTGTGGTGCGTGGGATGTTGCTATTTACTTGTTCATTATAGAGAATGCACCAGGAGAGGATCAGGCAATTTGTTAACAATTTTACTAAAGCCTTTGTCATGTGAACGCTGCAGTTTATCAAAAGGCACCATAAATCTGTACTTATTTTGCAAATTGATAAAAAATAAAATAAAGGGTGAATTCCAAATGGGTTTTATAAAAACCTCACAAGAAATGTGCTCTGCATCAATCTCCTCAAGATCTCACCTAGTTCAGGCAAGCATGTAGCTAAAGAATAGCCAGCAATACGGGATTTCATTGATCTGCTAATCCCATTTCTCAGATTAGAATTCAGGATTGCGGATGGCCTAGTGAAGGGGATTCCAAATTAATCAAACCTTTTCCGGATCGTTTGTTTTTGCTGCGCACAGCAAAAACAAACAGGCACTAAGAACACCGTTTCTTTTCCATCTGCTTCCAGCAAGTAAAGCAGAAACCAGAACAGCCTTGTATCTAGAACTAATACCTACCACTTGGTAAGATTGAATATAGAGTAAAAACACCATTAGCCTTTTCAGGTAAATCGCAATTCTATTAACAAGGAAATTGAGAATCCAACCATCTTTCATACAGCAACATGACAAGAAGGAACTACTAGAACAACTGACAATTTCAATTGGTTGATAAATTCCAGTACAAGATGAACATCACCAAGCAACAATGCAGCTGCTGAGTCAAACACTGGAATAATTAAAGGGACTCTGATGGGGTGCTACCAGTTCTCCTTAACAATCTTCAACTTCTCAAATATGTATTTCCCTTCCTTGTACTTCTGAGATGCCTCATAAGCTCTTTCATACTTCCAACCCAACACCTCACGACAATCGGCACAAGATATATCAGCAACAGTGTGGAGACCAGTCAAGAGATGCCTATCTTCTTTAGGTCCCACGACAATATTCATCGCATGAGAGAACAAAAAGGCTCGACCATGTCTTCCCTATGAACAAAATTATGGAAGAGAAAATTGGACAAATTTCTGGTCACTACTTCCTATCATGAAAAGATATATAATTCCAATGTTTAGCAGAAAATAAAAATGGAACAACTTGACAAAACTGGCAATCTAAGATGAACTGAATACATCAATCTTAGAAACATAAAAGAATGGCAACTATAGTTCTTGTGTTTTCTACATTATTCAAGATACAGCAATCATCAAAGACTTTCTTACAGTAACCAGCTGATAAAGGGTCTGTATTTTCTACATAGGGTGCCATCAATGGATGAGATCAAATACTATGAACAGGATCGATTCACACATGTGGAGATAATAATCCAAATCGTTTATCATAAATATAATGAAACCATTTCAATCTAATGGCAAATTACACAGAAAATCTAAATCACAGATGAACAAGGCACTACCAATTATCAAATTTCATGATCATCAAGACCAAGTCAAGACATGAGAATAAGGAAATGCTAATTGTGATAAAAATAGCTAGAAGATATAACAAGCAACAGTTTCATCAAAGATTGAAGTGATTCACCTGGAAAGCCTTAGAAATTACATCATCATGAAGTGAAACATGGTTTCGACAATTACAACAGCTGTACAACCTTGGACCCCCGAATTCCGCCATTAATCAACAGTTTCAATGTCTAAACACCTTACTGATCACCAACAACATAAGCACACAAAAACGAGAAAAAACAAATAAATCCAAGATTGATCACTCACACGGCAAGAAAACCCAAGAGGCAATATTTAACCAAAGTTGCAATCTTTGCTCTAGAGTGATCAAAACATGAATAAAAAAAGAAGCAAAAGACCACAAGGCACAAGTTTCTTTACCTACAACAAATTCAATGATGGCCCAAAAGTCTGAAACAGGAAGACAAGAAGCCAAAAATAGTGTTAGCGTGCAAGAATAGACTAAAGTTTGAGTGTAGATTCCAGGTAAGATTAAATTCCATTTTTGAAAAAAAAAATTGTGGGGTTGATAGCTACAATGATTGGGTTGAAAGGGTAAAACAATAAGGACATCAAAAATTCAAAACTAAAAACATTACTGTAACACGCTAACAATGGTATACTTTAAAAGGACATATAAAGGCGGTTAAAGGTAGAAAATTTTTACACAAACCTATGTAATTCAAAGAGGAGGTTATATTCTTTGCTTTTTTATGATAATTAGAATTTTATTTGATCATCGCTGAGAACTTTTAGCATATCAAGAAATGATAAAGAAACTAGCTTTAAAATAGTAGGCAAGGAGTACAACTGTCTGGTGAATAGCATAGAACTAACCTGACCACTGTGGCTTGGGATTCATGGCTCTAGAGTAGTCTAGTGACTCTAGTCTATGATTTAATGAGAGCCTAGAGAGAGAGAGATTGGAACACGGAGAGAGGCTTTTGCGCAATATTTTGAGCTCCCGATCATGGTGGTTAGCATCCTTCAATCCACTAGAAGAGTTGAGTTGGTGAAGGATATTTTCAACCTTATAATTGTTTAAGTACTTTACCTTCATCCTTAAAGTTTGAACATTACCGTGTTCTTCTGAAGCATTATTCCAATTCAATGCTTTTGTCCAAATCAAAGAATGGAGTTAAAAAGAGATTAGAATTGTGGATTTGAAGGGAGAATTTGGGTGGAAAGAAATTTGAAGAAAATATGAGAATTCTTTTGTTTGAAATAGAAACAAAAGTACCTTTCGATGTTAAATCTTTAAAAATAACCTTTGATATAGAGAAGAGAGTATAAATAAATATAATTTTAAATAAAAATATAACTTGAATTGCTTTTCAATCCAAAATCAATCTCATATCCTTCACTCATACAAGAAAAAATATTCTATTTTTTCTTGTATTTTTCTCCAAAAATCGATGAAAATTGCTTAAATGAACTCCATAATTCACATTAATACTTGCTATATATTGTTAGTTAAGTTTTATTATCAATATATAAACAATATTTAATTGAAGTATACTTCCTACATCTCATATATATTTAGGTTCATGATCAACTTCATGTGAAAAGAAAAAAAAAAGCATAAAGTGTATAATATATTTGTATTAATTTAAATCGATTAAATCACAACTCCATTAATTTGTGATTATAAATTATTTAAATTTAGGATAAAATAATTTATATATAAAGTTTAATTATAAAATAACACCTTAAAAATGCCCCCCTCTCCTTTTTTTTTTTTTTTTTTATGAATGGGACTCATAAAATGGATCCCACTTAGACAATAGATGATTTTCAGAAAATGAAGCTTTGAAACAATTAACAATACTCTAAAGTTTAAGGACTTAAATGTAATATTTGAAAAGTGTAGGTGGGTTTGTAAGAAATGGACGGAATTGTTAATCAATAAAGAAAAGCATGCCTTAAATAGCGCATGGAGAGCACATTTATTGACATGATACAATAGCTTTAGCTGTCGTTTGTTAGAAATTAAAATTGTAATATGGTTTGTTTTTTATATATTAAAATAATATTTTTTATTTATTTTTTAAATTTATTTTTAATACTAGCATATAAAAAATTAAAAAATAATTTTAAATAAAAATTTTAAAAATATTTCTGACCATAAAAAAAGACATTCTTAAAATTATTGGAAATTCAAAAACTATTACTATTATTGATCATCCTAATTAACATTTTATTTTTATTTTATTGCAATGCTCATGTATCTATAAAATAAATACATATACATACACACACATACTTCTATATAAAACCACCATTAATTTTACTAGTTAACTCAATTAATGTATAAATTGGTCCAAGCTTTATAAAAAATAAAGAAAGGAATTGATTTATATTACCCGATTAAATCCTATGTTTATTTAGTAAAAACTAATAAAAAAATTTATTGATTTTTTATTAAGTTTTTTCTCAAAATAACATTATTTTAATATTTTTTAAAAAATAAAATTAATCTAAATCAAATTCAAATTATTTTTTTTAATTTGTAACTCAAATCTTGCTCTGTATTAATCTCATGTCAAGTTTAATAGCTGGGATATATACATTATCAACATTTGTAATAATTCAATTTTTTTAAAAAAAGTTTTTATTCTTTAACTTCACATATTCAAGTTTTAAAATAATTATTTAAAAGAATTTATTAATATCTTGCATGTCTTTTTGTTTTTTGTTTTTTTTTTGTTTTTTATAACTTTAATTGCTTTGCTTTAAAGCAAAACAATTAAATAGATGTTCGGTAATAATTTTAATATGTTATCGATAAAAATATATTAGCTAAAATTTTTAAAAACATGAAAAAAAATATCTTTTGAGATAGAAGATTACTTATTTTATTTTAAAAAAGTAAGATAATCTTTAAAAAAATTATAATAACATATTGAAAAATTAAAAAAAAAAAGTAATTTATATGCTTTAACCCCGAAAAAATAGCCTAAAAACACACATGCTCTACCTGTAGGATCAAGCTTCTTACACGCTCGTGACAAGGTAAATGCATATGCAAGGCAACCAAAAACTCTTAAGTGTTTGTATTGGGGAGGAGTGTGAAAGAGATATTCATAGGGTGTTTCATTATGAAAAAGAGGTGTAGGAGTTTAATTAATAAAATAGGCTATTATGAGAACACAGTCAGTCTAATATTAGGGTGGAAGGTGAGATTAAAACATTAAAGCGGATAATATTCATTATGTGTTAATGTTTTCTCTTGACTTTGTCATTTTGTTGGGGTGTGTCAACACAACTCCTTTGATAGATGATGCCCTTAACTTAAAAAAAGTATGTCATGCGGAACTTGGCTCCATTGTCACTTCTAATGGTTTTGATTTTAGTGTGAAATTGAGTTTCAATTAAACTGTAAAAAGCTATAAAACAAGATTTGGTATCAAATTTATTTCTAAGTATATAAACTCATGTTGTCTAATAGTGGTCATCAATAATTATAAGAAAGAAACATGATCCATCTACTTCAATAACTGAGTTAGGACCCATATATCACAATTGACAAGATCAAATTTATGTAAAGCAGAATGTGCAGAAGTTAGAAAAGAAACACGCCACTGCTTAGCCAAAGGATTAATTGAACATGGTATTGGATTATGAAATGTTTGATTGTGTGTGATAATGGGATCAATGATTAAAGCTCATCTAGAAAATATGTTCTAAACGATAATGTCATAATCATACAATGAAGTAGTGTGAATAGTGAAAGCAGAAGGAAAAAAAGTTGAGGGATGAATGTGAGACAGTGTATCAACCAAAATATAGGGTGACAACCAAGACCTGAGAAGGTGATATAGATCGAGTCTAACTTCACCCATCCTAATTATTGTCCATGATGCTAAGTACTGGAAAAAAAAACAAGCATTGGATAAAAAATATGAGAAAATTTCTTAGCAGAAAGCAAGTTGAAGTTAAAAAAAAACACACACAAAACATGATTTAATACAAGATGCTTAGATAATCTTACGACACCAATATGGGTAATAAGAACATCTTGGACATTTGAAAGTTTAACTTGATAGGAAACAGTAATTGTGATAGATGTAAAAAGGGATGTACGGCAGATCATATGATCCATAGCACCAGTGTTAATAATCCAAGGTGAAATGTGTGTGGGAGAAGATAAGTGTGTGCTTTTGCTAAAGCAAGTAACCATACCAGAAACACGAGAATTGCTGACATGAGGATTGGGAGAGGAAGAAGATGGTTGTGTGACAGATAGTGAAGCCATGACTAAACTAGTCTCCTTGGAATGCAAAAGAGAAAGTAATTGTTGGTATTGACTCTTGGTAAGTATCATTGATTCAGTTGAATCCTCCTCATGATCACTATTTGAAAGTGCTTGGGATTGAGTAACAGTTGCTGCAATACCTTTATTTTTTCCATGAAGTTTGTGACCAGGTAGGCAGCCATAGTTTATAACATCTTTTCGCAATGTGGCCAATCATATGATAATGAGTGCATTGTGGTGGATCAACATTTCCAATCTTAAAACAGTTTTGAAGAGAATGACCACGAAGCTTGCAATAAGAATAATATGGACGATTAGTTTTCTAGGAAGTAGACCTGGAGAAATTTTTCCTGAAGTTAAAAATTGGTTTGGCCATCATTGCTATAAGGTTAAGGGATTTGATAGAAGGAATCATCAAATGATGTCGCTCTTGTTGTTGAATCATGGAGAACACACAGTTAAGGGATGAGAGAGGATCAAGTAGCATTATCTGATTTCTGATGTTTGACTATACATCAGATAAACCCATAAAGAATTGAATGACATAGTCGCAGTCATAGCGATCATAAAGGTTTTTAATTTCCTAAATAAATAATCGAGAAGAAGGTCATAGATAGCAAGTTCATCCCATAATGTTTTAAGATGATCAAAATAGGTACTAGTATTGTCTTAGTTTTGAGATAAGCTAGTTAAATCACATTTCAGTTGAAAAATTCAAGGGTCATTTTGATGGGTAAAACGATCCCTGAGTTCCAGCCACAATACTTTTGAATCCTCAACTAAAGCAAGATTAGATTTGACAAAAGGATTTACAGAATTTGTAGCCACAAAACAACTCAGTCGTTGCATCTCTCCTAAGCTTCAAAAAGAGGATCTGAGATATCAGTAGGTTTAGACAATATACCATTAACAAATGCAAGTTTGTTCTTTGTGCAAAGAGCTCTCAAAATCGCATGAGACCAATTAACATAATTATCAGCAGTTAAGAGTTTAGAAACAAAAACAATAGCTAGGTTATCACTATTTTCAATTTGGAATGGATTGAAAGGGTCAAAGATATTGAGGTATTTGTTTTAGGAGTTTGTATCGTTAAAAGAATGGGAATTAGTTTCTTTATGAGCATTGGCCATTGATCAACAATTTTGATACCATGTAACAAATGAATGTGAAATAGAGGAAAACAAAATTCCAAAGAGAAATTCCTCGTATATATTTAATGATGCAACTCATCCAAATATATACAACAGGCAAAGAATATTCTAACTAACTTATCCCATGTAATATTAATACTACCCTTTATGTATAGTACTTTACAAAGCAACAGAGAATAAATAATAAAGTAATAGAATTCAGGTAACCATACCATCATACTTTGCAGTGACATGGTGTGTTGATGACTCATCCTCTAATAAAAATATCATTAGAATAGTGTTTAATAAAGAAAAAGTTGAATGCAATATGTAAATAATGTTTTTTTAAAAATTAATTTTTTTGTTTAAAATAAAATTTTTTATGTTTTTAAATTATTTTAATGTGATGATATCAAAAATAATTTTATTTTAATATATTTTTAAATAAAAATTACCTTGAACCACTACCACCATTACAATCATAAACATACCCAAAGTCTACAAGAAATACTCTTTGGGAAATACATCGATTATTGAACACTTACAATCATCCATGATTTAAAATAAATTATTTATAGTCAAATTTGTTTATATCCAAGCTTATATAATTAAGTTGATAGGTCCGATTGTAGAAAATAACCCAATCATTTAATTAAAAAAATAAAAATTTTATATTGTAAAATAATTATGATAATTGGGATGCATCTCAATTTTTTAATTTGTTTTTTCTAAAACAAGATACTACAATGATAGAATTTCATTTCTAAAGATATCTAAGTGATATGTGAATGGTTGTGTATTATTAAAAGTTTTAAATTTTTTTATTTTTTTATTAATTTTGATATATTAATATTAAAAAGAAAAAAATATTTAAATATATTTCTAAATAAAAATTATTTTAAAAAACATGAAATATCACAATATCAATCATACTATTTAAATCACCATGTGATTCAACCAAAAGGTCATCCAACCGTCCCATTATTTTGTCCTTGTCACCATGTCACTGTGGTTATGGTAGGGGAAGAGATGTTATATGCACAAATTAACGGAAAACTAGAGCATCCAAAGACAATTAGTACAAGAAAGAGACTCCTTTGTATTGTCTCAAAACTTAAATACCAGGTTTTCCGATAATATCAGCTTTTGCTCATATTAGTTTTTTTATTTTCGGTAATAATAATAAAATATTTTAATATCAACTTTCAATATACATATATATGAAGAAGCTGATATTCATGTCGATCAGGAATTTTTTAAATTATTTTTTGTTTGAAAAAAATATCAAATTAAATCAAAATATATTTTCAAATCCATAATTCGAGTAAAATGCATTCCGTACTATATATACTGCAGCACAAACACAAACAGGCTGATTGTAAGTCTCTAATGTTGCTTACTTTAGTCTAAAATTAAATCAAAATCAAAACACAAACAAAATGTTTTCAAGCATAAACAGTCTTATAAGCAGCAAACAGTCAAATGCAAATAAATACATGACCACTTCATATGGGACATATTTAGAACATGAATCTTTCTCTCACTATGACTCTTGTTCTGAATAATTAATATTCCCTTACAAGCTTCAATTTCTCAACTATGAAATTCCCTTCCTTGATCCTCTGTGATGGATCAAAAGCTCTCACATATTTCCAACCCAGCTCGTGACCACAATTTCTGCAGAAGATAGCAGCGACTGTGTACATCCCAGTTAGCATCTTCCTGTCTTCTTTTTGTCCCAAAACGATGTTCATCACATGAGAGAACATGTATGCCTGCCCTGATCTTGCCTAGCCACACCAAATCATTTGAAAAAAAAATAAAAAACTCACCTCAAAGAGTATTATGGTCAGATTTCAATTCAGAATCAGTTGACTAATGAGTTGTTAGTCACCTTGTAAGCCTTGGAGAGGAGATCACTATCGAAAGCAAGTGGATTCCTACAATTCCTGCAGCTGTACAAGGGATAGTCACCGGATTCTGCCATGTATATAGCTGCAAAGTCTAGCACCAAAAGAAAACAGAAGTTATCGAATATAAGCTCATGAATAACAACAAGCTTTGCAAAAATTGAAGATAAAAAGAGATTAGATCTTCTCATGCCTCAGAATATCTGGTCCAAGGATGATTACAGAAGGACACTGTCTTGAGAGTTTATGAAAGATATGATCAGTGTCTAGAGATCAAAATTTATAGAGAGACAAGAAGGGAAGTTCTAGGCAAAAGGTAGGAAACTCGATAAATACAGGATTGATGAGGTGGTGCAAGCTCATGATTGACCAGTACTATGGATAACGTAATAGTAAATTATTCTTTAGCTCAGCGGTTTTGAATGCAATCACAACTTGCTCCTTCATGTTTGATATCTTACACTTTAGTCCCTTGATTCTTGTTGACCTTGCTCCATTGAGAAATCTGGTGGTTGTTTTCTAAATTCTAAATGTACCATTTGACAATTTAATTATTAAAAATAAACAGTGGGGGTTTGATTAAAAAAACATAATGCATTAATTAATTAATAATATAACCATCAACAAGATTTGTGAGACTAAAAGAATATTTAGAAGTATGGTAATGATTGTTTTTCAAATTATATTTTATTTAAAAATATATCAAAATAATATTTTTTTATTTTTTTTAACATAGCAAATCAAAATGATTTTAAAATACCAAAAAATATTATTTTAAAGTAAAGAAAAAACTAATTTTTTTTAATTATTTTTAAAAATATTTTTAAAATGTAAAAACAAACAGGCTCTATTATAGATTTTTAAACATGAGAGACCAAGTTATTACATGGATAAAGCCTAGGGACTAAAACTATGAAATCCATGATTTGTCCACCAATGGTGTCATGGGTTGACTTCCATGTCCCAGCTCATAAGGTTACTTCGGAACAACACCATTGATGCTTCTATCTTCTTCTTTTTCTATCGAAACAAGGTTGTAAGAGATTTGGAAAGATACTCGGAATCTCATCTAAACAAATTGTAGCAAGAAACAAAAATGTTTTGGAATCAAAAGAAAGGCAAGTTGTTTATGATTAAGTAGTGACTGCATCAAGATGACTTGTGGTGCAAGAAAACGAAAAGTGGAGGACGAACTTGATTTCTTGCAGTTTACAAGTTCTTTAATTCTAGTTATATTTATTGCATTAATTAGCAAACAATGCTCTGTTATTCCTCAAGTAAATGCTAACTATAACTTAGGTATATTGAATTTATTGGTTGAGTTTGAGATGCTTTTAAAAAAATTTAATTCCTTTTTAATTCTATATTCTTCCCTCCTTTTAATCAATTGATCATCTAAATTTATATCTTAAACATAATTTAAAATGTTTATTTAATGAATTAAATTATATCGCTAATAAGACTATAAAATGATGTTTGATTTTTATCTTAAAATAAAAAAATTATAAGAAAACCAAGTATTTTTTCATCTTTTTTTCCTTTTAATTTTTAGATATTTTTATTATATTTTCCCTATATAAATAAAAATAAAGTTAATAAACTATGTGTAGAACTTTTTACCCGTATATATATTATGATTTGTGAATATCACTATTTAAACTATATTTGTTTTTCAAAATTTATTTTTTAGAAAATTATTTTTCAAATATATTCTCAAATCCATAATAAAAAAAGAAAAATAAATGGTTTGAGAGTTTCATTACTTACTCTTAAATATATAAAAAAGAAAGAAAGAAGAATATAGAAATATTTTTTATTTATTTCATAAACTATTTTCTCTCTTTGAAGTAAATTACTGGCAACACTTACTTAGGGGTCAAATTGGGAATATTGGGAAACATCAAGGATGACAATGGGGATTCCAAACTTTAGGGTGAAGATGCAATTACCAAAGACAATAAAATCCAAGTTAACTTCCTGTTCTTGTAATGATATCGATTCCAGTTTCAGTTCTCTTAATATCCCATCTACACTGCTTCTTTTTCTAAGACATGGCGGATAGTTACTGGAGATACGTCGGCGACTCACGGCAGGCGGCGGCGCCAGCCGCAGCCGCAACCGCAGTCTATGCCTTCTCTCACTGGAAAACGCCCTCGCTCCGATTACGGTGTGACTTCAAAATTAATATTTATCTCTTTTTAATTCTCTATTAAAGCCTCTACTTTTCATGCTTGCAATCCCTTTTTTTTTTCTCTTAACATTTTGTGCCTTGTATTTGTTGATTTACGTGTATAATTTCCTGCTTAACCATGTGTTTGGTAATGGGGCTGAAAGCTTTGTGTTAATTGATTTTGAAAGGAATGGGAAGCTGAAAGGATTGATTCTTTTCATTAATTTTGCTGTTGGTTTTAGAGGCCTTTATGATGTTCGTGCATTATAACATGGGAAATTTATGTTTTTGGATAATTTATCGTCTTTGGGGTTTATATTCAAGTAAAAGAAATCTTCTTTCTTGATTTTTTTCCTCTAACTGAGTTTTTTTGTTTTAACCTTTCCTTTGCATATTAACTGGAGCACTTAAAAAGTCCCAAAATTGGTGGATTTCTATGTTTATTTTCTGCCTTTTTAGTGCAGCCTTGGTCACTTCAGCAGTTTGATTATCTGCAATGTAGTAATCTACGGTTCTTATTGAATTCTATGTTGAAAAAACCAGTTTATGAGCCTTTTGTTTTCTATAGACTGTTTTATTTTCACTCACATGTTAGCTCTGTTTTTATGCTTTTTCATGCTGTATGTTCCTTGGTTGTTCTTCTGATGGTTTATTTCTTGTTGGCATACATTCTTGATCTTGTAGATGTACCCAGTGGCCGTGACCTATCCAGTTATTATTCCCGTGATGATGATAGAGGAGCTCTTCGTGTAATTAGAGATTCGGACTCCATTGGAGCATCCTATGACCGTTACTTGCATAGTGGGGTACTTGGTTATTCTTTATCTCTTTTCATGTCAAATCAAGTGATTGAGGGGGGAGGGGAGGGGGGGCGAGAACAAACAGTACTTCTGTTTATTTGACCCATCAATGAAAGCCTATGTTGAATGTCATGCTGAGTTGCTTTTATATGGGCACTGAAGAATGTAGAACAAATGAAACCAGATTGTAATGCCAAAACAAGGTCATAATCTGGATTTAATAAGAAAATAATAGATACCCAAAAGGTGTCTAAATTAATTGTGTTCAAAATTCTTCTTAAGTTACATGTTGTTAGCTCATAATGTCTTTGATAATGGTGGTCTTGTTTCATTTTTTAACTCAATTCTATCTTTCTTGGTTGGCTCCTGATTAAAACTATCTGAGTAATTGAATGAATGTTTCAGACAATTTCATCTTACAGTGGGGGACAGTCTGCAAGAGCTGTAAGTGGGGTGCCTGTTCGTCCTGTTGATGATATGCGCATGGTAAGTATGGGATCCATGGACTCAGGGTCTAGTGTAAAAGACAGGTCAATGCGAACAGGAAGTGGAAGATCTGAGATTTCCCTTCCGCCTGACGCTAGCAGCACACTTTTTGTGGAGGGCTTGCCTTCTGACTGTACACGTCGGGAAGTTTCCCGTATCCTTTGATTGTTTTCCATATGTACTGACAGTATTGCTTGGCCTTTTTACCTTCTATTTTTGTTTCCTAGCCTTCCATATGTAATTTCAGTACCCTGGTACCTTTTCCCATCTGTTTTATGTTCCTTCACTTGGGATTAACAGATATCTTTCGCCCTTTTGTTGGCTACAAAGAAGTGAGACTTGTAAGCAAGGAATCAAGACATGTGAGTCTGTTTATCCTAGTTATTATTGTCAATATGATTATCATTATCGATTTTCATTGTTTTAGTATTTGCTGGGTCAATGTTATAGCACATCAGTGAATTCACTGGTTGTTAAAATGTGCAGCCTGGGGGAGATCCGTTGGTACTCTGTTTTGTTGACTTTTTGAGTCCTGCACATGCTGCCACTTCCATGGATGCATTGCAAGGTGAGCTTAACATGCTCTGTATTCCCCCCCATCAGACGTCTCAGTCATATATCAGTTTACTGACCCGTAGCATCATAGCTGTTACTTATCTCACATTTCCTTTTCCATGCTAGTTTTTTATAATGTACCTATTCTTTTTGCATGTTTTTTTTTTTTTTTTTTATTGGGGGTTGTTCACTGCTGCGTAGCAGGAATATATTTTAGGGATGTGAGCCAGCTTCGAGATGGTTGAATAATAGAAAATGCATTAGAGAGTCATTTTCTTGGAAGTCTGGGCAATTGATTGATCATATTGATGGATTTAGACATTTTGACCCTCATATACTGCTAGCAATACTGTAAACCGACTTGAGTTCGTCTTCAAATCTTGATGGATTTTAAGCCTAACTGGTCAAATAGGTTAGCCAGACTATTTGAGGCCTGTATGCTTATCCATATGGCTAACTGTGTTTTGCAAGATCCGATGTCAATCTCTCACGCCACGTTTAGCCTTACGTTTTCCTTATCCCAGTTTCAATATATGCATATGGTAGACAAAAAACACTGCCGCAGACCATACTTGGGAAGTGGATGGGCTGTCTTGGTCCTTTCTGCTTTTGCATTGCCTTTTTTTCTGTCAGGAAGCGAATGGTGTTCCATATATGCGACTTGGGTGTGTTAAACAGTGATGATGAATGTTTGGTATATTTTGAGTGTATGTACTTGAAATAAATGATTTCAACGCCTTAAGTGAGCTATCTAACGATGCCCTAATTCGCCGTTCAAAGCGTGGTTAATCGTGCAACGTAAAATAGTCAAGCTCGATTTTGCAGGTTATAGATTTGATGAGCATGACCGTGATTCGGTCCATTTAAGGTTGCAATTTGCTCGCTATCCTGGTGCAAGGTCAGGTGGCGGGCATCGTGGAAAGCGTTGAATAGTGCGGTCTTGCAGGTGATTATTGCTTTCTTTTTTATCCGCTCGACCTCTTGTTGTCCATGGCCGTTAGGTGCTATGTAAGAAAACTTTATTGTAAAGCGATCAATCAGGCTAAACCATGGAAACGGCCACTTTCTGTAGGATTTGCAAACCAGGAAATGGTAATGGGGGATGATACCACAACCTTGCTGTTTCGAGAATCACAAATATCGGAATCAGCACTTTTAGTAGGATAAACATTATCGTGTGTTTTTCAATAATTATTCGACAATGGTTAGCAACTCGGATTCGACGTTCTTTCTGTTACATAATTGCAGTTTTATTTGTGTTAATTTACCTATGGTTGTCTCTGTGTGCATATTGGAGGATACCGATGAATTTGTTTCTAGTTGATCCAGTGAGGACTCTTCTACAAGACTTATAGTTATTTGCGCTCACCTATGTATTGGGATTAGGAAGAAATGATTGCATGTGCACACAGACAACACATAAGAAAAGAGCACTGAAATTGATAGATATCTGCATACATCCACACATCCTTACATATCACATATGCCTGCGCTCCCACACACACGGTTTATTTATTTTTTTGGCTGCTTGCTAAACTTGTTGAGAAGGAAATAGATGGCTTGCCTAGGAAATGAAAAAGGTTTCATGCTTGGTCTGTTTTCATATTTTCTTAATCCAAAGTAACTCATCATGCATACTGGATTTTCTTTGTGGAAATATATTTTCTGGATTTGTCAACCTCTCTCTCTCAAAGTTTTATTGGGTTGCTGGGGTTAGAGTATAACTTTTACTGTCCTATTTGATTTGAATTTCTTGTTGGTAGTTGAGCCATTTAAGAGTCCTTGAATTTCTTTCAGTAGGTTCCTGCATTGAATGTTTCAGTTGGATAGGGGAGGTTTGCGAACTGCCAAAAGCCTAACAAAGTCCATTCAGACTATTGGTATGAGAATAGAATTTGACATATTGTTATTTTTGAAACAAGGGAGTGATCTGCTCTTTTTGTTGAAGCAATTTTACCACTATTTAGCGGGCTTGATAGGTGATACGAGGGTGTAGTAGGTTGGTTTGGATGCAGGCTAGCTATTTGGCTGCTTCACTTTGACAGGCTATCACAATTGTACGTTCAGGTCTTTTTAGTTGGGTTGTAGATCTGGTTCATGCTTCACTTTGTTTCATCCCGAACACTGTTCTTTAGATACACATAGCATTGAGGATAACCGTTGAAACCTATCTCCAGCATCGGTACCTTCTATATCTACAAATGCTGCCGTTTCCAGTGTCTTATCAGCTGAATATACCTGCCTTCAAACTAGAGGTAACTGTGACATTTGCATCTATACTGAAATGATCATGGCTGTGAGGACTGTTGTCTCACTGAATTGAGGGGGTTCATTAACATCTATTGATTGTCGTGCTGAGCCATTGCCTTCTCTAGTCATGTTATGATTGACTTCTTATACTTGGACTTGGCCAATTCAACACTGTGGCTTCTGCCTGCTAAAGTAATCTTATCGGTGATTAGCTTTTCTTTCGAATCTCGTGCATTATCATACACAAAGCACCATAATCAGATCAGAAGAACCATCTTGGCTCTGGGATGTGTTACTGGAGTTATTAGTTTTTCCCCAGAGACCATTAGCAGAGCAGCCAGCGGAACAACCTTTTCTTCCTTGGCATAATGGAAGCCGATCACCCCTGATATGAGCAACCCCCGCATCTATCTGTCTCTCTTCATGTGCATGCGTGTACTTGTGTGGAGACATCATCTTTAGAAATTTATAAAATGAAAATAACCAATAAGCCATATTAGCTGTATTCTGAGTCAAGTCTGTGTTACAGACATTACCTTGCTTCTGTAGGAGCTTTGACAATAAGGCAGCCATTATACATCATCTTTCACAAAAACTGCAAAGCACTGTCTACAGCATCTATCTCCTCCCTGAAGAAACCATTAAAATGCGACTCCCTGCACCCTCGCTAACCATCAAACATGTCTAGTTTGTTTTCTGAAGCAATCTTTTAGGCCATTTATCCAGAAATGACTCATCTTAAAGAATTGAAGTTGAACGACCATTTATCATGATCTTGATTAAAAGAGGTCAACCTGTGCAACTTCTTTCACATAAATGGTATTGCCTTATCATGCAGCTCTTTTGCCCCCTTGTCACTCCTTTAAGCATCATTCTATTTTGATCATAATCCGATAATTGTTCCCTGGAGATAAGACTCCCATTCAAGCATATGTCGACATCGCTTTCATCTCAAGAAATAAGCTCGGCGCAAGTGTCTACCCGCGTGAAACTTCTACCTCTGGGAGACTTCTTTGTGACAAGCAAAATCAATCAAGCATAGGCAGTTGTCAAGCTGGCCACTGCAGCTATTATTTATCTCTAGCTGTATACCCGTACCAATAAGAGTGTTCGTTAAATGGTTTTAGGATAGAAATGAGAAGTGATATAAATGTGTTTGATTTGAGTTACTGGCATAAAATAAACTTGTTCCTCAAACAATTTTGAAGTGAATTTCTGGCTTTTCAAACAGTAAGTGTAAAGTGTTATGTGTTCTCTGTTTTTACCGTTTTTCATCTTCTTTTTTTTTTATTTTATCTCAGTACGTTAACCAAATACAATCTAGTTGATAGTCAGATATCCAGGACATCATTTAATAACTGACGTTGTCTGATCTTGGTACCAATCTCTGTGATTCTCGGGTAACCTACAATGAAGTTTACCGGTCCTTACATTTTACACTTTTATCTTTTTCCCCAAGAGCATGCTTGGGGGAGGAGATCTCCCAGGAAGAAGCTGCCCATTGGTTTGAAACAGGAACAGTCTCAGGAATAATTGTTAATATTTTCAACATTGAAGGAGACAGTGAATAAGGATGTCGCTTAAAGAGGATGTTAGGGCTCCGATTTGTCTACTTCCGGGAAGTTTAATGGCACTTTCACTGAGAGATATAACATGGAATTTTCTACATTCCTCCCCGCTAAACCACCACAATGAGTATATCAGTAACCTGTCAGTCAATAGAAGTAAAAATATGATAGTAATTTCCGGTGATTTATGCAAATTTTTTTAATCGACAGAAATAAAAGTAGGATGCCTTTTTTCTACAGAATCTTTAGGAACTTGTGCAGCCTGGCTAGGCACAAAGGAATTTCTCTATTTTACAAATTGCATTTCCACAGATAATACCTGCTGCCTGTAGAGTAGGCCATGAAAGGCTCGATTTGTAATATGACGAAATAATTAATGTTTTTTTTAAATATAAAAATATTAAAGTAATTAATAATCCGATAACATTAAGATAGATTTACGTAGGGGTTAATTATACAAAACTGTTAAAAAAAAATTTTGAGATGTAATATTAATATAAAGATTAAATAAATATAAAATAATTGTTAAAGTTAAAGAATTTATTAATATTATTTCAAATAAGTATAGTTTAAATTTTTTTTATTATTCAACTGGAAATTATATATAAAAAAAGCTCTAATTGGATGATTTATTATTTATAAATTATTTTGAATTATTAATATGATTATATTAATTATTTTTATAAGTAATAACAATATTTGTAAATGTTCTCAAGTATTTATAGTGCTAACTTATATCAATAAACAAATTAAAGTTTTTTAGTAAAGGTGTTGATTATCCATATAATGTGTTGATTATCCATGTAATAGATTACGAAAGAATGAAGTATTTATTATGCTGATGGATTCATATCATTGTATCCTTTGTCAGAGTCCAACCACTGCAATTCTAGCACTTCATCACCTCTGTTCAAGTCCGAGGCTGCCTGCCTTGTATGTAAATTATTCTTCATTTCAGGAACAAATATTTCTACGCTGGAAACAGACTGATGGGCAAACTCGTTGATGAATATGATCAAGGAGAATCGAATCTATGGAGATTGCACACATTTAGCTAAACAAGTGGGTGACTATTGAAACAACAATCATATCGTCAGCAAACGATTGCACACAGAATCAATCAAGAACTTGCGTAAGTATTAAAGACCACAGGCTGAAAAGGAAAAAAAAGTGTTTAAATGTAATTAGTTTGGCTGGTTTAGGAGCTCAGTCGAAAGATTTAGGGATCAAAATATAATACGACGTACTGGTGTTGGGGGCTCGTTTTAAGGGTGCACGTCCCTTTTGCCTTTTGCTTCCTTGCTTTGTTTGTTTCGGGTTTAGAGGAATCTAAGAATAAAGCTACAGCTTAAGCATTGAAACTAATACATGAAGGTATTGGTTATTTTTTAAAATTTAGTTTTGACATAGCGTATTAAAACAATTTAAAAACATTAGAAAAGATAAAAAAATATCTTCATAAACAGTTTTTTTTGGAATTTGAGAGTAATATTGTTATTTTACTGCTTTTAAAAAAAAAGAAAAAACAGAGAATATTAAGCTTTTTACTTTTTTTGTCAAAAACAAAAGAGCTGCCACTCAAAGCTTATTTTTTTAGCTTTTAAAAATAAAATAATCATTAAACTGTAGTAAAAATATCATATATCCTCTGGAAAAAACAGATGTACCCTCAATTGAAAGCCTATTCAGTGTTTTTGGCAAGAATAAATGAATATTTATACTGTTTGAATCCACAATGTTTTGTGTCTTGACAAATTATATTTTGTATTTCTTCCAATTCAGACCCGACAAAGAGAGCACTAGAGAATCATTTAATGGTCAGACTACTAGTTTTAACCAGTTGAACCTCTTCTTAACTACCCGTAAGTCTTGTACATAGGATTTTTCATCGCATGTTGTGGATATTAAGCTGGTAGTTATGTCCTCTGATTATCCTCGGAGGTATTTGGTCATGGATATTCTTTTTACTGATGTTTTGTTATATCGTTTCTTTCTGTCAGTAGCTTGCAGTGGTGGGTGGTTAAACATTTAGGGTTCGTTTTTAAAGCGGCCAACCACGCGGCTGGTCGCCTTAACAAACACAACTTTATTGGAGGTTCAGCATCGCGGTTGCAAGATATGATCTTGTGAGTTTTTCTTGTTTGTTTTCCACTGTCTGAATTCTAGACAACCAATCTGGCTGATAGAGTGATAGGAACTCTTGTTTTATCAATGTAGCAAATATTTACAACGGATGGTAGTAAACTGGAATCATGCCTGACAACTTTTAATAGTTTAGGGCAGGGGCTTCAAGCTAACACAATCTCCTCGTTAAAGGAGAACTGCAGCAACCAGTTCTGCATGTATAAATTCTTCACAATCAGAATGTTCATTAAAGCAGTGGTTTAAATTTTCTAAGATCTCTATTGCTCACAGACGAATATATCATCTACAGATGCAAGTGAAATGTTAGAGCTTTTGATGAATTTTATATGAGATCGAGAATGGATGGGAACTACTGCTGTATCCTTCTATACTTGCTTGTCAATTTTGTAACTGGAAACCTGTCCAAAAAATTCATAGGTTTAACTTGTCGATCTGTTGCACAAGCAACTTCAGAAAAATATAAAATTCAGGGTTAGGCTGGCTGGTTTTGTTTGTGGCAGTACGAAATGACAGTGTACAATTGGTAGCTAAATACTGTTCTAATTAACTCTTAATCTGAATAATTTGGATGAACTTTTTTCCCATGCAATATGAGGCTGCAGCCCCTTGAACTTCCAGGAATTCAGCTAAAAAATTTCTGAATTTGCTGCAAGCTGCGTCTATGAGGAGAGCAGACGTGCTAAGGAGATAGAAGTTGAGGCTAGCTTGTTTGGAGTCTGGAAAAATGGAAAAACATGGCTTAATAATTATCCATATCAGCAAGCATGCCTCATCAGTAATGGGGTAAAATTTTCCTGATAGCCTTCAAGTTGATATCCCATGAATATGACGATGTGCTGCTCATCTCTAGAGACAAGCTGAAACTTTCAATGAGTCTTCCATCTTTGAGAGTTAAGATCATCCCTTCTTTGATGTTTAAAAAATTAAAATTGGATGAATAAAAAGTTCCCGTGATTTACTGAGAAAGATATTTAATAAATAGACAAACGGATCATTATATTATAATTACAACGAAAGCCAAAAGATGGTGATCTTTTGCGCAGTGAATTCACCGGCGGTCCCGTAATTATCGTCAACTTTGTTGATTCTCTGATTTTTTTCCTCTGTCAAGCAAGTCTTCAGCTGGTCCAGATCTATTCTCCTTGGTCTCAAAGAGAGCGTGGTGAGGATATGGGAACTAATCATTCGTAGGTTTTAATCTCAGGGAAAACACATATGGTTCAATGTATCTGGAGCGGAGAAAGTGGCGACAGTGGCTCTCTGCTATGCTCTATGCCGTTCCTCTTAGGCAGCATAGAGGCCAGTTGATGGTTGCCAGCAGATCAGAGTGGTGGCTATCACCAAGGCCAGACCAGTTTCACTAATTAGACAAGTCACCGATATGGGTAGCCGTTGTTTTGGCAAGAACTACCCGCCGGAATTCAAAGAAAAAGCACCCCAGGTTTCTAATTCTGTTTAAGATTCCTCATCTTCACAGTTAATTATGTTAAAATTATGCTCAGGATACTAACTTATTGGTGCTTTTTTTTGGGTTTTGAATGCAGTTTTCAAAGGATATCGAGTGGGATTTCTTAGGCAATTTATAGAGTAATCAAGTTAAATCTCTACTAGGTATTGTTCTTTTGCCTTCTTCGTTGGTTTAGAAATCGTGGTATAAACTAAAAAGCAATTATATCCATTCATTAATTCTCTAGAACTTGGCCTACTGGTTTTCCAGAAAGGAGAACAAGCCAAAACTACATGTCGTTCAAGCTTTAAATTATTTAACTTTTGGATTTTTAACCATTCTTGCTTGAGTAATTGTTGGTCAGCAGTGATTGGATTTGTTTTTATGATTACCTATGTTTAATTTGTTCGTTTACATTCTTGAACTTTGTCCAGGAAGAACATTATTGGTTTGGTTATAAAGAAGATGGTGTGGGGAGCTATTTTATTTTTTTAAAAAATAACTTGGGTATAGTATAACTTGAAAATTTGCCACATTCTACCAAACATCTAATAATATCTTGTTTTTTTAAGCATTTCTATAATATCAACCAATGCCTTCTGATATTTCTATAAGACTTACTATAATAATTATTAATGGTGACCATGAGTATGGTGGTATTCTTTCTACTAGGAAAGTGAAGTGGAAAAGCGAGATTATTGCAAATAGTAAGGAGTTGGATGGAACAACATAATTGGTTAGTTATTCTTCATTAGGAGAATATCTATGAATATCCAAGTGGTATGATTACTAATTCATTACTTCAGTTTCAACATTTAAGTTATATAGATTTGAGTATAAATAATTTTGAAGGGAATCATTTTTCATATTTCATTGGATCCCTAAGCAAATCGAAATACTAGAATATCGAAATACTAGAATCTCTGATAATTTTTTAATTGTAAATCTCTCAAATTAGCTTTGCAACCTCTCAAGATTGTAATCTTTTGATCTTAGTTATAATTCTAGTATTAATTTTGGAAGTTTTAACTATCTCTTTAACTTTCTTTTTTTCTGTAACATCTTGACCTGAATAAAAATTATCTTAGTTAAGCCATTGACTGGGTGCAAGAGGTTAACCAGTTTTATCTTTTAAAAGTTTTATTATTAAATGATTGTTATCTTTCTGTCCTTTCTCTCATTCCTTTATAATTTCTTCTAAATCCCTTGTTGTCACTCTCTCTCTTACAACCATATGATTTCTACTTTGAATTGGTTGTCCAAACTTTAGTAATAACCTTGTTTATCTTGATCTTGGATATAATTGAGATATCAATTCTGAAAATCTTAACTGGTTTTTTTTTATCTTTCTTCTTTAGAGTCTTAACCTGAGTGGAAATAATCTTAATCAGACCAATGATTGGTTACTAGTGCTTGCCAAATTCCCTCGTGTACATGAACTGTATTCAAGTTTTTGTAGTATTTCAAATATCATTCCTCCATCTATTTCTCTTGCAAGTATTTTTAAATCTATTGCTGTCATTGATTTCTCAAAAAAACTATCTTACTTTAATATTCAATAGGTTGTCCACCATCAATAATAACTTAACTGTTCTTGACCTATTATATAGTTTATTACAAGGTTCAATTTCATATGCTTTCACAAACATAATTTCTCTTATGATTCTTGAATCATCCATTAACTAATTACATGGAAGTTCGAGATCATTTAGGCTAATATGCAATTCAAGTGCATTATATTTGGGACAAGACAATCTCACTAGAGAACTTTCTTAGTTCTTTCAAGACTTTTATAAATACATAAAAAGCTTATTAGAGAATCTTTGGCAATATAACAATCAATGTTATGGTTCATTGCCTGACATCACAAGATTCACTTCCATAAAAGAGTTGGATTTTTCTTGACCAATTAAATGGATTTTTATCGAAAAGATTTGGACAATGTTTTGAACTTGTTTCCTTAGGCTAGAGTGGCAATCAACTCACTGGATCATTGATATCGATGTTATGATGCTTTCATTATTGAGAGAGTAGTGGATCAATAACAATCAATTAAGTGGAAATGTTTTTGCAAGTGTTGGAAGCGTATCTCAGCTCATTTCATGTTAGGAGAATTTTGTACAAGGGCGCTGTTTGAAGCTTATTTTAAATTTTTTTTCAAGTTATATATATTGAATTTAACTCATAAGTCCATAGCTTTGAAATTCGAGTTTAACTGAGCTCTCATTTTTCAATTGGATCGAATGTTGTTTTCATCTTGTAATTTAGGCCTCATTTTTCTTAGTGGCTTCGAAATCAAAATGATGCACTTCAACTTGGTTTCTCTTCTGCTGAAATTTGAGATATCATCCCTAATTGGTTTTGGAATTTTTTTAATTCCAAGTTAAAACTCTTAAACCTTCCTCACAATAAGACTATTGAAAATTTGCTAGATTTCTCATCAAAATATCGCATCCTCCAAATCATATATTTGAGTTTCAACTAGTTTGATGATTCACCAACATCGTTTCTATGAAGTTGTGTGGCACTTTTTGTATTTCTAACAATATCTTTTTAGGGCTAGTTTGTATTTCATGTGAGATGGGAGGTATAACCTTGGATATCTTAACCTCTTAAATAACCTCTTATCATGTTGACTTCTTGATTGTTTAGACAATTTTGAAAATCTAGGAATTCTAAATTTGACAAACAACAATTATTCATGTGTAATTCTCAGTTCTATAGGATATGAGCATTCTTATAACATTGAATTTGCACAATAATAGCTTTATCGAAAAATTACCTTGTCTTTAAGCAATTGCAATAGTCTAGTCTTTTTAGATATGATCACAAATAAGTTGTAAAGAGAAATTGGATATAAGAAAGCCTGACATCTATGAAATTCCTTTCCCTATAATTAATGGGTTTAGTGGAAGCATACCACATCTTTGTCACCTAAAAAAGTAATCTTACTTCTATAATTTAGAAAATAGTCGGTAAGAATTCCATAACTAGTAATGGAACTAATCTTGATGGTGACTTTTTCAAATATCCTTATTAGAATAGTTCAGGATTGAAAGGAAATGGAGTATGATTATAAAAGTAGTTTTGGGCTTTTAAGGATCATTAATTTTACATGAAACAAATTAATATATAAAATTCAAGAAGAAATGATAGGACTTTTAAAGTTGGTTTCACTGAACTTGTTAGGAAATAATTTGATTATAGTAATATCATAAAAGATTGGGTGGTTAAGACAATTTGAATAACTTGATTTGTTAAGAAACCAATTATCAAAAGCAATTTCTATCACAATAGCTAATTTACATTTTCTAGATTACTTGAACTTCTCTAAGAGAGTGTTTGGAAACACGGGTCAATCGTGTTTCTAAAAACATTATTTTTTTTTGTTAAAAAATAATTTTTTTATGTTTTGGATCGTTTTGATGCGCTGATCTCAAAAATAATTTAAAAAAATCATTTTAATGCATTTCGAAATGAAAAACACTTTGAAAAATAATTACAATCACATTTATAAATACACCCTAACAATCACTTAATAGGGATGATTCCATTAAGCACTGAAGTTATGTGAGCAAAGAATTTCATTTGAATAATTGTTGTTGGTCAAATTCAAAATACTTAAATAGCTTCGATAAAAGGTTATTAGAGATGTCAATGATATTTAATCTACTACTTGCAATCCTACATGGAAGAAAAATTAAACTTGAGAACTTATTGTTAGAGAGAGACAATGCAAATGGGAAATGTGGTAGTGGACTCTCTAAGTGGTTGAAACTCAAATTTATGGTGTGCAAGTTGAAATATTTTGATAATAAATATAACAAAATTCCACTTATCTTGTTGTTAAAAAGGTTTAAGTGAATCAACTTGGAATTAGACAACTTTTAAAATCAATTAGGGATGATATTTGAAATTTCAGCAAAAAAGATATCAAGCTAATATATATCATTTTGGTTTCGAAGCTATTAAGAAAAATGAGAGCTCAAATTGCAAGACAATAGAAATATAATAATTTGAAAAGTGGGAGTCACAAGGAGTTATCAGATGTATTCAATACATTTAATTTAGAGAGATTTGAGAAATGAGGTTCATACACGGTCCCTTTCAAAAAACTCCCCCAACATACAATTCCTTAAGCTAAGATAGGTTTCCAATAATTTTTTACTAAGATCTTTTTAATTGATTCGAAGAGAGAATCAATAATCTAATGGAAGTGAATGTTATGATGTCAAGCAGTAAACTATGAAACCAATTGTTGTATAGTTTTAAAATCTCTAGTGAGCTCTTCATGCATTTATATAAGTCTTGAAAAAATTAAGACAACTCTTCAGCCATTGTTTTCTTTTAATTATAGTTCATTTAAACTGCATATCTACCAAAATAAACTCAAACTGCCTTTGTAACCAGTTGAAGGATAGATTAAGATTCCTAAAAAAAATCATCTTTGCATCTGAAATTGAACCTTGTAATATGTTATATGAAAGGTCAAGAACAATTAAAGTGTTATTAAAGTTGGATAATCAATAAAATATTAAAGAAGTAAGATGGTTAAAGAAATCAATGTTAACAAGAAATTTAGAAAAGTTGACAAAAGAGAGATGGAGGAATGATATTTGAAATATCACAAAAACTTTACTGCAATTCATGTAAGTAAGGAACCCTAGTAAGCACTCATAGTTAGTCATTGATTTGACTAAGATCAAGTCAAGATACTCTAAAGAAAAAAGATAAGGAAGCCAGTCGAGGTTTCAAAACTGATATTCTAAATATTTATGAGATAAAAATAAATAAGGTTGTTGAATAACCAATTAAATGTTGAAGAAACTTGTTAATTGTTTGCACCTAGTTAGGGGCATGACTGAGATCATTTTCGCTCATGTTCAAATGTTCAAGAGAAAAAAAGGTTAAAGTGACAATTAATATTTTCAAAATTAACATCAAAATTATAATTGAGATAAAAAAAAATTGCAATCTTGAGAGGTTGCAAAGCTGATTTGAGAGAGTTCCAATTTAAAAATTGTCAAAGAGACTCATGTATCTTAGTTTGTTTAGGGACCCAACAAAATATGAGAAATCATTCTTTTCAAAACGATTTACAATCAGATCCATGTAACTTAAGTGCTGCAACTCAAGTAATAACTTAGTGATCATTCCACATAGATGTTTATATGTATTTTTATGATGAAAATCAAGAAGAGTAGCATAATCAATTACGTTTTTGCATCCAACTCCTTTTTATTTATAGAAATTTCTCCTGATCCTCAAGTAGAAAGAATATCACCATACTTATAGTCACCATCATCAATTATCATAGAAAGTCTTGCATAAACAAGACAATTATTATATACTTGACAAAATGTGGCAAATCTTCAAATTAAACTATACCAAAGTTGAATTTTCAAAAAA